GCCATCTGCAATCCGACCCCACCACCAAAGACATCTTTCCCTCCCCACCTTTATCTGCTTTCCGGAGGGACAACTCTCTCCGTGACTCCCTTGTCCGCTCCACACTCCCCTCCAGCTCCACCACACCCGGCACTTTTCCCTGCAACCGCAGGAAGTGCTACACCTGCCCCCATACCTCCTCCCTCACCCCCATCCCAGGCCCCAAGAAGACTTTCCACATCAAGCAGATGTTCACCTGCACATCTGCCAATGTGGTATACTGCATCCGCTGTACCCGGTGTGGCTTCCTCTACATCGGGGAAACCAAGCGGAGACTCGGGGACCGCTTTGCAGAACACTTACGCTCGGTTCGCAACAAACAACTGCACCTCCCAGTCGCGAACCATTTCAACTCCCCCTCCCATTCCTCAGACGACATGTCCATCCTGGGCCTCCTGCAGTGCCACAACGATGCCACCCGAAGGTTGCAGGAACAGCAACTCATATTCCGCTTGGGAACCCTGCAGCCCAATGGTATCAATGTGGATTTCACAAGTTTCAAAATCTCCCCTCCCCCCACCGCATCCCAAAACCAGTCCAACTCGTCCCTGCCTCCCTAACCTGTTCTTCCTCCCACCTATCCCCTCCTCCCACCTCAAGCCGCACCTCCATCTCCTACCGACCAACCTCATCCCGCCCCCTTGACCTGTCCGTCCTCCCTGGACTGACCTATCCCCTTCCTAACTCCCTACCTACACTCACCTTTCCTGGCCCCATCCCCGCCTCTTCGACCTGTTTGTTTCCTCTCCACCTATCCTCTCCTCTATCCCTCTTCTATCCGCCTCCCACTCTCTCCCTATTTATTTCAAAACCCCCTTCCCCTCCCCCTTTTCTGATGAAGGGTCTAGGCCCGAAACGTCAGCCTCTCTGCTCCTATGATGCTGCTTGGCCTGCTGTGTTCATCCAGCCCTGCACCTTGTTGTCTCGGATTCTCCAGCATCTGCAGTTCCTACTATCTCTGCAGACTACAGTGTCTATTTTTAAGTGTCCTTGAACCATAGCAAACAAAACCTATAATCACAAGTGGAGAATGATCTCCTAATTCAAGCCAGAGTGAATTCACTAGAAAAATATAGTGAACAGAAGATAGTTGCATACAAAATTTTGTATGTAAATTAGTGCAATTTACAATTCTGTACTTGCCGCAGTGATTGTGAGTCTACTTCTCCAGAATGGATATGATTGGTTGAAAACAGTGATGTCACTGTTTGCAGCCAAAATAAATTTAACTGAATAATAATATGAACATCTTTAATGGGTGTAGAATATGCAATCCATTATTCAGATGCACCAAGAGGTTTGGAAGAGTATTCATGAGTATTTCTCATGTGACTTTATTCCAACGTGTAGGCCATGTTCGTATTGAATCCTCTGGCAGCCTTCTGTCTGGTGAGATGATGGTTTGCACCTTGGTGGTCAGCTTGTTAAACATCGCCTTGTGTGGCTCAGGAGCCCACTCTGGCATTGCAGTCTCTGCTGCACTTGCTACAGATGAAGGTGGTAGGCTGAGAAGGTGCACAATTCGCTGGCCTCGGTTTTCTCTGGGCCCTCTTCTCAGCCAGGTGAGCTTTGTTTCTTCTTATCTCAACTGATGCCTCTCCAACCAGTTAGTCTTCAGATGTTCAACGAATAGCAGCTATCTCCTGTTGACATAGACAATGTTCGCCACCTTGATATCTCCCATATAGTGAAAGTATGGATGTCTAGCAGGCAACAGCTCACTGGCCAGTTCACTCTGCAGAACGCCTTTAGGAATACTGCTGACATTCATCTGATGATTATAATATCACAAATGTAATTGGTTTAGTGATAAGTGTACACCAATGAAATTAGCACATTTTGGTGGCCTTGTCCTGTCAAAGATACATCTGAGACTGTGAAAGAGTAGTTGTTCAGCCTTTTATTCTGCCTGTGTTGTCAATAGGTCTCACTGCTGTCATGGATAACACCAAGTTACTGTTGTTTCATATTCTTATTACCTGGACATAATAGCTATTACTGTGCAGAGTATGTGCTGATTCAGCAAATAGTAAAAAGGTTGATGATTGTGGAGCCGAAGTAGATGAAGCTACAAACAACCTTCTGTTGTTGCATTATTGATGCAGATTGGTAATGTCATAATGTTCTGGACAGCGACATTCATTTACCAGATGCTGATTCTTCCAAGCATGAGAGAGCCTAGGCATTTCAAACCGATGGTGTTCCTGGATGTGATATCATTTCCACAGAATAACTTGGAGGACTGGCATACTTTCTGTCTTGGATACCATGTGAACATGATTAGTTTCTAAGGTGCATCACAAGGAATAAATACTGTTTCTACAAGAATTGTTTAGCATCAGATGATAAAGTTCCTTTGATAGCTCAGTGGGTAATTGGTCAGTCTTAAATTAAAAATGCCTCAATTTGGCTTCTTGATTTGCACTGAATTCCAGCACTTCTGATTATTGCTGTTGACCTTAGTATCAAAAGGGGGATAAAAATCATCCTGCCTTTCTTCTCCTGATTTCTTTCATATAACTCTTGCTGGCAACATTTTTGAAAGTTGGATGGAAACAACCACGCATTAGGTTATGGTCCCAAAATTAAGTAACTTTTTTGTGAAGCCGCACGCATGAGAAGTGGTCGTGAAGGAAAAGTACGAGAAAGCTGTCGGTTATCTTGGAATTGTTCTCCAGTGTGAAATGTTCAATAATATCCAACTGTTTGTATTTTACTGTTTATCCTTTGTTCATTCTGGTTCTTAAGTGACTCATTTTCAATTGCACCAATTCTCAGTAACATTCACATTTTATGTTGAAAATTAGATTTTGAAAAATCGAGAGCCGAAGTAAATCAAATAACCCTGATCTGTCTCTGTTCAGGAATGTTACCTTTAATTCCTTCCCATCCTTTCTAAATTTTTTAAGACCTTGAACCACCCTATCTCTGGAACTGACTCTTGCCTTCCTTCCCTGTTCACAACATCAGCCTCCTAAAGGTGATTTTTTTTTTTTTTGACACATTCTCCCAACCTCCAATTTCTCCCCGCCCCTTTCAAAATAAATAAACAAAATCCATCTCTTGATCTTTATTATTCAACCAAACATTTGTCATCTCTAATTTTCTCCCAGGCTCTGTGTTGGCTATTATATGTAGAATATATATTTGTGTGTTTCTTCTTCTCTCCTCCTTTCTTTGTAAAGTGCCTTGCAATGTTATGAATGCTAAATGAAATATATAATAGTGCATTTAACCCATTGTGTCTGTGCTGATCCTTTTAAAAGATCTTTTGAAACAGAGGGAACTGTTTGACTATTAAATAGAAAATAAATTAAGCTTGCTCGCAATGAAATCAGAACTTTCTGACCTTTCTTTCTTTCTGTCCCTGCCCTGCCACCTCCATCACCACCGCCACAACCACCATCACCGCCTTGCACACCACTGTCATTGCCAATAGAGGTTGTGCAAGACCACCAGTGGTTAATCAAATGCAGCAATGCATTATACCTGTGAATAACATAAGAATTTAGACGGTGAAGGTGGATCGTCAATCAAAACTCATGTACTATTTTAAAAGAAAGCAAAATGTACTTTTGAGAAAATGTGTATTTTCTGTCCGGTAATTGGATTCAAATCATTGTTACTTTAAAGTTATTTATTAACCATGTCATGCTATTTCTTGACTTTATCAGGGAGGAGCGAAAGACGATAGTGATTCCGAAAGACATGGATGATGCCAAGGCATTGGGAAAGGTTCTTTCTAAATACAAGGATACTTACTACGTACAAGTATTAGTGGCATACTTTACCACATATATTTTGTATCCTTTTTACATGTAGTCAGTACCATGTTTGCATAGCAATATCTGGAGCACAACTTCCCTATTAAAGATATCCCAATATTTTTGAAGAAGGGTCCCGACCCAAAACGTTAGCTTTCCTGCTTCTCTAATGCTGCCTGGCCTGCTGTGTTCCTCCAGCTCCACACAGTGTTATCTCTGACTCCAGCATCGACAGTTCTTACTATCTCTAATATTTTTGAGTTGTACAAGGTGCTTACATCTAATGTGCTGTGGGAAAAATGCTTGGGTTCGTATTCACATAGTGCTGTTGGTGTTACTGGACCTCTGGTGGAGATATGGAGCAGTTCTTAGACACTTCCACACAAGTAGGGAGGAAAAACTTGAAAAAGAATCTGCTGTTTGTAATTCTTAACATTGGGCAGAAGTGGTTATTGGCAAAGCCCTCTGCTATGAAGTGGTTGTGAAGGGAACAGAAAGCATTTGCAAAAAAATGCGCGTTAATTGGCTTGGGAGGATAAAAAGTGCATCTATTGTACACATTGATTTCAGCGTTAAAGTAAGAACTTTTCACTGTTGCAGGCTGCAGCATATTCAAGAAACTTGTTTCATTGTTAATGATTAGATTCTGTGAAAATTAGTGTAGGGATTCTTAAGTGTAAGTAGTCAAAACTACTGGAGCAGTTTTGTTTTGATTTCTGCATGAAGACTGTTAGCTTCTAGGATAACCTTCCTTTACAAAAGACTGCAACACAAATATGCATAGTGAGCAGTGGCCTAGTTTAATATTGCATGAAATGCATGTTTATCTTCTTTTGTCTGTGTTTTAAGTTGTACATGCATCATAACACTCGCTGAACAGTCATCGGTATCTGTAGCCCTTGCGTCCACGTAGGTGAAAAAAACCAGCAATTTATCTATTCTAACCCTATTTTCTAACCCTAACTTGGGTATCAACGGCTGGCTGTCCAGCATTTATTGCCTACTCCTAGTTGCCCTGGAGAAGGTGGTCGTGAGCTGCATTCATGAATTGCTGCCATCCATATGCTGTAGGTGTACCCAAACTGCCATTAGGAAGGGAATTCCAATATTTTTATTTAAACGTTCTGAGGGTTTCTGCCTCTACCACTCTTACAGGTAATGAGTTCCAGATTCCCATTATCATCTGGGTGGAAAGTTTTTTTTTTTTTTTTTCTCAATTCTCTCCTATACGTTCTACCCATTACCTTATATCTATGCCCCCGATAATTGATTTCTCTGTCAAGGGGAAATGTTTATTCCTAACTGCCCTATCTGTGCATCTCAATCAAGACCCCTCTCAGTATCCTCTGTTCTAATAAAAACAACTCCGGTCTGTCCAATCTCTGTTTGTAACTGAAGCAGTCCAGCCTGGGCAACATCCTGGTAAATTTTCCCCTGTACTCTCTACAGTTAACTCTCACACCTCCTACAATGTGAATTCCAGAACTGCACACAGGACTTTAGCTGTGGCCTAACTAATGTTTTACACAGTTCTGGCATAACCTCCCTGGTTTCAAATTCTGTGCGCCTTGGAGGTGTTTTCACCTGTAGAGAAATGCCACCCTCATGGTGGATAAAATGATTGTGTTGTCCATTTCTTCTCTATTATTCATGAAGGAACCTGGATATGAGCAATTTGTGGGCAATTTGATTCCAAACAACTAAATGCACATTTTCATCAGGAGTTGCTAGAAATTTGGTACTAACTGATTTTACATCTCCCTCGTTAATCCTGATACCAGGCTGACACGTCAGTTAAATCCGTTAAATAAAGAGTGACTTTCGCCAGAATTCTGGAGTAGATGTTTATGTCTTGTATGATGATAATGACTTGCATTAGTCGTAAAATGTATCATACAAGTTTATCACAGAGCCAAAGAAAAGATATTGGAACAGGTGGTTTTTATTCTTGCTCAAAATGTGGGAGTTTCTCGCAAGGCCAACGTGTTACCAGTCACAATTTCCCTTAAACTGAGTGGTTTGCCTGCTATTTCAGAGAGTGGTTAAGACTGAACCACATTGATGTGGGTTTCGGGTGCGGTGTGGGTAAGTAGGTGGGTTTGTTGATTGGCCAGTGCATGTCAAGGGGAAGATGATGAGTGAAATTGAAAACAAGAATGAGAATTTTTGAATTGAGCCATGTTGACCAGTGTATACAGGAGTGATACCTGAATGGTACTTGGTGTAAGTATGATGTGGGTACCAAAAATTTAAATGAACTCATTTATTGAGATTGTAGAGTAGAGGGACTGCTGTAAGATATTGAATAGATGAATTTAGAAGTAACAAAGGCACGGATAAAGGTTTCAGCAACAAATGGGTTGAGGCAGGTTCAATAATTGACCATATTAAGGATGTGAAAGTTGGCAACTGTGGTAATGCACAGTACAAGCTAAATACTTCAAATAGACAAATTAAATGGACAGCAAGATGGGCAGAAGTCTTGTACAGAAGTCTTAACGGTTCCCAGGAAGAGGAACACAATCAGTACTTAGGGAACAGAAGTTGTGGACTGGCCTTCCCAATATATAATGGAGGCAATTTTTTTTATTCCAGTGCTAGATGTCAAATAGCACTATGCCAAGTGAGAAGTAGTTGAGGGATTGAAAGACACAGATGTAGGTGAGGTAGCATAGAAACGAAGCTGTATAACTCCTTGTATGATACCTGAGTTCGTTTCTTTGACTAGTGCTGAGTTTAAAGTTTTTCAATGCAAATCTCGCTTTCTATCAGGGTAACACTGCTGTGTGTTTCTGACTGTTTATGTGAAAAAATGAGTTAGAATGCTGTTAGTCATTTCACATACAGGCTCATTCCTAAAAGCAAGCACAAGTGATGTACCCAGATAGTGTACCATCCATCATGGTGCCAAGCCCCTTTCCTTAAACTAGAAGGTTTGGAAAACCTTTGAAATTCCAATTATATAGCAACTTGCATAACTTCAGGATGTCCCAGAGTGTTTTGCAGCCAATTTTAAGTCAGGTTTTCTCTTAATTTAGGGAAATGCAACAGCCAATTTGTGCACAGTACTGTTCCACAAATATGGAGATAATGATCAAAATCCGTTTTGGTGAT